TTATATAAAAATATATATTTATAATAATAATTTTAAAACAATACATATAAAATTTTAATATTCAATATGTACCATTTTAATAATAAAATTGATATGCCTACTGGAACGGTTGACGACTTTGATTTGGATGGGATTCATAACAGATGAGGGAGACTTTGAATTTGGTTTCGCGGGTGTGTGGTTGTATTTTTTGGATTTGTTTATGCCTCTACTTTTTCATCCCACAAAAAAGACACAATTTCTATAAAATTCAAAAATCACAATTTCTTTTTAAAATGACGCGAGTATCCGATCATAATTTCTTTTGGTTATATCCTCATTTGAGTTCTTTTACTTCAGTCAAAAGTTTTTTTTAGTCATTTTGTTTTAGAAAATATTTTTTTGGTCCATAAAATTTGAAATCCGACTCATTTTTAATCTTTCCGTGAAGTTTTACATATGTAACACATTAAATGATAGAAATTTCAAAGTAGAAAGACTAAATTTAAGCTGTTTTTACTCTTTTTTAGTCTCTTTACTTTAGAAAAAACTCTTTTTTTGTTTTATTCCCTTAAAATTTTCATCATCTAACGTCAAGACTTAATAAATTAACCCGAAAAAGTTGGATTTCAAACTTTATGAATCAAAAATAAACTTTTTTAAGTAGAAGGACTAAAAAAGAAGTTTTACCAAAGTAGAGAGATCAAATTGAGATGTTAACCATTTCTTTTGGATTGTTATTTTTATGAATTTGACTTTTTTAAATATGATTTTTATGTTAATAAATTTCAATTTTTTTGGATATTATTATTTTTTCTTAGAAGATCTATTATTTAGTAAACTGTATATTTAACTTATATAAAAATATATATTTATAGGGATAAATTTAAAATAGTACATTATATTTTTTGATATGCTTTATGCACCATATTAGTAATAAAACCAATATATATGCTAGTACAAGATTGATAACTTTAGAATGGTATATATCAATTTGGACTCTTAAAAAAATTAAAGTTTTAATCTTAAACAATAATGTTGTTTTATTTCATTAAAAAAATTTTAAAATTCACCGTATTAAATTTGGATTTTTGCATTTTTAAAAACCAATATCCTAATTTAAATTTCAAAAATCCAATTTATTAACTGTTGATACCTGTATTTAGAAATTAAATATAAAAAGTAAAAAAATCTACTTTATTAAATAATACATATCAACCTTTAAATGTAAGTATCAGTATTTAATAAAATTGATTTTGAATTTAAAATTTAATTTTAATTAAATGAAACGATATTATTTAATATTAGAACTCAAATTTTTTGTGAGTCAAAACTAATATGCACTATTATTTCTTCAAAAATCCTCCTTTTGGATGCTACATGGTAGATATGCTCAGGTGTGCCCCTTCCTTTATAACAAAAGCAAGAAAAATGAAATTTTTTAATGACCCTCTTCTTTCAAATAGTCAACCGTTGAGTTAAATAGTTAGAAGAAAGTCAATTTAATAAAAAGATGCACCTTAAACCAACTACTTGACAAGAAGGAGGAATGTTTTTCTGCATAAATTAGTTAAAAATGATGCCCTAAAAAATTATTAGGAGCTTTTTGCATCAATGATTAATCAAATATGTTTGTTGATAAGGAAAAAAGACATAATAATTAAAATGTAAACAACTAAAAGGAAAATAAAAGCATAACAATTTAAAAACAAATTTAAACTAAAGAGTGTCATGGAACCAACCTAAAGTTCAAACTAAACTAAGGGGATGACAAACCTATACATTAATTAAGAATTATAGAGGTTAATGAAACCAATACTTACAAATAGAAAGTATATCCATAGACTCACAAACTTGTTGGAAAACTACATTGTAAACTAAATTAACCTACTTGCCTAACAAACTTGATTACACAAATTAATGAACTATACTCGCAAACTAAAATAAATTTACAAACACATAGAAAAAGCTATATTGCAAATTAGATTTTTTTGCTTGCAAACCATACAATAAAAATGTAAAGAAGGGATATATAGAAGAAAATATGAATTTTGAAGCATTAAGAAATACAATTGCGTTAACATAACTTAAAAACAATTGTAAAACTCAAATTAATTGCAATAACAAATTTAAAATTTAATATTAACAAATTTACCATATGACATGTAGCAGGATGGATTAAGGAATAAAAGAAAATTGTTTTTTATTATGTAACTAACATGTAAAAAAATATTATTAAATTTACAAACTAAATCAATAAAAAAAAACCTAAAAAACTAATAATATACAATAATTTTAATAAAAATGTGAGAGCTAATCTCTAATTCTAATCTTATATACTACACAGAGAGGAACATGATTAAGAAATGAAAATTTTAAGGAGCATTCTGTGCGAGTACGACGTCGTGTCGGAGATGATAAGCAGGAAACCAGAGAAGAAAAGAACACCATGCCAAAAGACGGCTGCACGCCCACTGAAATAAATGCCGGGAAGCCGACGGATGTTGCCCGACATCAGGAAGTAGCTCCGGACCCACCTTCGGTCGTCGTTTTCTCCCCATGTTCAGATTTCAGTAGCTGACTCTTTTCCTTTACGGTAAATTACTGTACAAAATTCAGCTTTCTCTTCCCTTCCTCGGAAGCTTCAGAAGCTTCTTTCAACTTTACTCTTGTTAGATCAGCGATAATAACTTCCACATATATTTCCTTTTCATTTTACGAATTCTCCTGAAGTTCTGTAATTAAATTAGGATTCTGTGCTGTTTAAGCATCTTTAATTGTGGGCTGTCCCCAATTAACTAAAAATCGTTTCTTTGTTCTGGGTTCTTACTTTCTATTCAAATTTTGGTTCCAAAAGTATTTTTGATTCCTGGGGATCTTTAGCTTTTGGAATCAGAATGGTTTACCACGAAATTCATTCATGGACTTTAGGTGGTCTTGTAAGAACTTTTCTTGACTTAGCTCTTGCTTATTTCCTTCTTTGGGTATCAACTTTTGCATTTTTCTTCTCGAACTTCTTGAATTTTTTCGGGTTTCTATTGCCATGTCCATGTACTGGGTTTCTGGGCTATCAAAATAGCAATTTGTGCTTATGTAAGCTGCTTTTTGAATGGCCAATTAGAAAGATCTACTCTGTTCTGAATTTGGTGTGTGGAAGGTTTCCTTTTGACTTGGTTTGGTTCGGGGATCAAGAGGGCAATTTGAATATGAAGTCTTTAACAGATGGGAGAATTGAGAATGGGGTTTTTGAATTGGAGTACGGAGGGTGTTCTAATTCCTCTTCAGGTTTAAGATTGCAAAACTTGGTTGGTAAGGAAAGCGGGTATGATGCCAAGGGAAAGAAAATTATGAACCAGAAGCAAAAGTCTCGAATTCAGCGACGAAGAAGAGCTTCTCTGGGATGTGGGAAATCCTCTTCTGCATTAACTTATGATGGTAGTGAAATTAGAAGCAAAACTAGTTCAAGTTTAGGTCCTGTGAGCGAAATAGAAGATTGGTTACCTGGTGGTAAGTAAGAGATGTCTCTGGAAAAAGATGTCCAAGTAACAATTCATTCTTATCCACTTGATTTTTGTTTCAAATCTGCAACTTTTATTGTGAATTTGATAGAATCAATCACGGGTATGCATGTGGTATTTTCTACTAAAGCCGAGCCTAAATTTATAGGCATCATTCAAATGTTGTTTATTTCATAGAAAAGCTAATATCTTAGGATGCTAGGAAGTTGTTCACTGTATTAAATGGACAAATGAATTTATCTTTTCTTGTAAGCATTATAATCAATACCTATGTTTGTGGTAATGCCATTTTAGATGCTCAAACAGGCACTGATGTGGGTGAGACATCCTGGCATGGTTTTCAACTTAGTGGATCATGTGGGGAGGATGATAAAGTGGAAAAGCATTTATCTTCTCATAAAAGATTCTCCAGTAACACTCAAGAGAAGGTGGAGGTTGCTGCTAATGAAGCAGATCGAATCAGATTGTTGGAAAAGGCTCTTCAAGAAGTAAAAGCTGCTCATGGTGCAGTCTTTCTAGAGCTAGAGAAGGAAAGGGCTGCAGCTGCAACTGCTGCTGTTGAAGCCATGGCGATGATTGTGCGTCTACAAGAGGATAAGGCATCAATAGAAATGGAAGCAAGGCAATATCAGAGGCTGATAGAAGAAAAATTTGCATATGATGAAGAAGAGATGAGCATTTTGAAAGAGATTCTTGTTAGGAAGGAAAAGGAAAATCATCTTTTGGAGAAAGAGGTTGAAGCCTACAGGCAGATGAATGTTTTAAGAGATGAGGATTCACCTCCAATAATGCTGCAGCAAATAAGAAGTGGTGGATCCTTTGACAAAAAGGAAGTGGATAAAGATGCAAGTTGGTCTTCAGATCATGATGCTCCATCTGCTTGGAAACAAAGCTATATTTCCCTTGTTGGAAAAGAAATAGCATCAATGAATCATGATGTAGATTCTAATTTGTTCACTTCACAAGGATTAGCACGGATTTGTGGGGCAAGTTCAGATAGATCTATCTTCTCTCATTCTGAAAACAGTATGCCCGAGAAGCATATTGTTGTAGAAGGAAAAGGGGATGCACAGGTTGAAAATAGCATGTTATGCCAAAGAAAGTCTGTGAAGGCAGTCCAGGGTGGTGGCACTGAAAAATGTCTATTTAGTGTGGAAGGGTTGGAGGAAATTGAGGAGCTCAGAGATCAACCATGCAGCAAGCTGCAAAGTTCTACAGTTGATATGGAACCAACTATTTATGATGTTCATGTAATTGATGATCAAATTGAACATCAAAAGGAAGCGGACATAAGAGAAAGTGGCCTGTTGATTTCTGCTTCCAATGAAAGAACCTTGCTTTCTAACTTGAGCGGGGATTCTTCTTTCATCGTCAGGAATGAACGGTTAAGGATTGACATGGAAATAGAATGGCTAAGGGAAAAGCTCCAAAGAGTGCAAGAGCAAAGGGAGAAGTTGACTTTTTGTGCAGATCAGAAGGAAAGGGTGAATGCTCAATTGAAACTTATGGAGGAGATAATGAACAAACTTCATGAGCTTCAGCTGCAAAGGGAACCTGTTCGACAGGTTTCTTTACCTCTGTCATCATCTTCTAAGGTGTGTAATTTACACTATAATGTTTCTATGCATTTTTAAGAATGTGCTTTTTACATGCTTGTTTTAAAAGGACTATGATTTGGCATGTATTTTTCATTGAACTGATCTCCATCGAATGAATTCCAGAAGTGATAGGATCGACAAGTCCTTTCATATTCTTTATACCAACAACTCAACATAGTTTTTGTGTTAGAAAACAGTCTTTGAAAACCTGGAATGCAATATCTCTTACAAAACTCATGTTGGTATGAGATACTCTATATGTGCACACAAGGCTTGGTGCTCATTACCATGTTTTGGGTCCTTCTACATATGAGGAACTTTGTTGGTGAAAATTTTAGCATCATTATATCTTTCTGGTGTCAAGATAATAACTGGTTTTAGTTGTGGCAATAGCTCTACAGTCAGTGTTACAATTTTGGTCTGAAGTAAAACTGCCCTTTAATTAAGGGACATTCAAATCACTTAATTTTGAAAAGGAAGGGATATATGAAAAGTTTTTTATATGTCCCATTTAATCTCATCTTTAAAAATTTTTGCATTCATTAGATGTAGCAGATTGCTGGAATCAAGATTAAACTCAGATCTACATATAGCTGCCAAGATTGAGTTCTTAGTGTTCCAAATAAATCAGACATATTTAGAAATCTGAATAGAGTTTCATGAGTCTGTAACTGCTTAACTCTGTTGAATGCAGAAAACAAGAGCAGCTTCTACCAACTACGTGATCAGTTTAAAATCTGTGAATGTGTTTGTCTCTGTTTAAGTTTTAGACCATTACTACTTTCTTGTAATGGTTGTTATTATTAATGATAACGACCATAATCCCTCTATTTTCAGGCAAGCTCAAATAAAAGACGCTGCAGAAGCATGTCTGACGAAGCCCATGACAGCGCCTAAGTCATGTACAGTCAGTATCATCAGGTTTGCACCCTTATTTCCTATAGCTTATAAATTTGTTGGTAAATTTTGTAGGCTCCAGCAGAGCTAGTTGCCTGTAATTATCTTGTTGTTGGAAGTTTGTTCTCTGTTTTAATATTTTAAGTAACTTTTGATTAAAAGGTAGCTTCAATAAAAGCTGTTTCCAGGCATTGCCCCCTCCAGAGTACATACCATCATTTGTTCTCGTGTGTGCAAGGAAAATTGTTCTTAGAGCCTGCAATCGAATACAATACTGATTTCCATATTTATTAACTCTTTTTTTTTTTTTTTAATTTGATATTTGTATGTATAAGAAACAAAACGGAATTTGATAACAAAAAATGTAAAGTGTAGTTTGCCCTCCCAACATTCTCATTAGATATTTTATTTAGCCACTAAAAACCGCAATGACACTAAACGCATTCTAACCGATCCTAATATGGTTGCCCAAGCAATGCTTTTCTTTCAAAAGACAATGTAAAACATGTGCTTGCTGAAAGAAGTATTTATGTTTCTAATATACATCATCTTTCAAAGCACTTTAGCTTATAAAAAACTATGTGAACTCAAATATCTTATAGTTGGAGAATTTATCCTTTTCTTTTAGGCTAAGTTTGATTCACAAAAATAACTTCTAAAAAGTTATAGATAACATGATTCTTTAGTGTATTTGTGGAAAAAAAGTAACATTTTTTGGGAACATTTTATAATAATGAGCCATGCGACAAGAACGAACATTCTTTTTTTTTTTTTTTTATCTCCCTTAAATTCTTATCCACTCGTTTCAAAACTTGGAGCAAGACTTTCTAATTTAAGGCTTTAATTAGTATGTTTTGGTTTATTGATTTTGGGTTTTGATTTTTATAAATTTTATAATTTTAAACAAAAATTTTATTTATTTTCATATATTTTATAATATATTATCATGATTATTAGAGAAACAAAAACAAAAATAGTTTTAATATTATTAAACAAGTTTATATTGATTATTTTTAGTGTTAAAATTTGTTTTAAATAGATTATTTTCCTTTTACTTTTAATTTTTGCTTTCAATAGTTACAAAATTTATGAAAATAAAAACTAAAAGTCTAAAACCTACATTCTCTAAATTTTCAACTTTTTATTGTATTGGTAAAATACCCTTAAGGGCAAAAAGGTAAAAATATGAAAATACTCAAAGAACTGTTTCTTCCATAGAAGAGAGAAATTTGTTTTCTTGAAAAAAGTAAAGTAAACAGAAGCGTTTACTTTATCCTAAACAAAACTGTTATTAATTGAAAAGTGATAGATTATTTTGTCTAACTAACGTAGACAAAACTGTTAGTGGTTTACATAAATTAAATGAATAAATGCATGGTAAAAAATATAATGAATGCATATCATATTATATATAATTTTTAAATGAAATGAGTTAATCATAAAATAACAAATTATATTTTATATAAATATTATACTTAAAATATTATTCCTCTAGTATTTTTCAAAGATTAATTAGCTCAACTGCAGTTTAAAGAAGTAAATATCGTACCGTACCGATCAGTATGGTCGATATATACCGATTTTTAAAATTGATCGAAACGGTATAACATTAATTTTTATTTGAGTCAAAATTTGATTATTTTAATCAAAATTTGATCATTTTAATCAAAATTTGATGTATCGGCTGATATTTCGGTGTACCGGTCGGTTCACCGAAATTTTGGTCAGTACACACTGCAAATTAAAAAAAAAAAAAAGGATTCCCTTAGCCCAAAACGACGTGGTTTTGGGTCAAGGGCTTCTTAATAGCCTCCAACTGTAATTTCAGATAACGATTCACGGAAGTTGTCTGTATAATTCAATTCAAATTTAAAAAGGGTAAATTTTATTTTTGGTCCTTAACTTTAATGTTATATATAATTTTCATCTTTTAACTTTTTTATGTACTTGTTTAATCCATTTTTCATTTTTTTAGTCTTTTTATCAATTATTTTGTTAAATTTGTCTAAATATACACATTTTTAGTCTCTTAATTTAAAGTGGATGAATGAAAAATATACATATATTAAAAGTTAAGAGACTAAAAATGATCATTTTAAACTTATTTTTAATTGGTTTAAGTACCATTTTAGTCCCTCAACTTTTCACTTTGGTACCAAAATTGTCCTTCAACTTTAAAAAGTACCAAAATTATCCTTAAACTTTCATTTTTGGTACCAAAATGATCATTCTGTCAGTTAAATGCCAGATGGCTCGTTAAAATACCACAAAATCACCGATTTTTTCTTTATTTTTAATGACGTGTAAATCCAGCAACAACATTTTTTACACCGTGGCATGTTTTTACAAGTCAGATTGTCATCTTCTCGGTTTTTCTTTGGTTAAATGCTAAATTTGGTCCCTCAACTTTAGTGGTTTGCACATTTTTGGTCCCTTAACAATTTTTTGCACTTTTTTGATCCCTCAACTATACGAAATGCACTCCGTTAGTCCTTTTGTTAATTTGGACCGTTAACTCTGCCCACCTGGCATTTTTTATATTTTTTTTGATGACGTGGATAGTAAAATTTAGAAAAGTGCTGATATGGACAAAATGTTTTTGCCATGTAATCTTCCCGCGAAGTCAAAGGCGCCAAACTCAAATGGGCCCCACATTGACTGCCAAAGCACCAATAAATTACTCTTGTGAACCCTAAATTGCTCTTTCATCTCCACTTCTTCGATCTTAACCCATTTCTTCTTCTTCTTCTCTTTTCTCGGGGGAACTTGAGGAATTGCCCAAATGCAGGGA